TTCACCAGAAATGGGAGCAGAACACTAATGGATTTTCTAACATACACTATGATTAACCAAGCCACATGGGTGCTGGAGCCAGATTGGGCTTGTTCAAATTGCAGCTCCTTCATTTATTAGTTGTGTGACCCTGGGCAAGTCACTTGTACCTCAGTTTATTCATCTGTAAGTGCAGCTAATAATAGTACTTCCTATATGAGGTTATCGTGCAGGTACAGTTAATAAATTTAAAACACTTCTCAGTGCTTGGGTTTGTATGTGCTAGATAAGATCTAGCAATTAATATTACAAGAATTTAAAGGAATAAAAAGCTATCTAGGCTATCATAATTATACCAACTATGAATAGTCTGAAATAACACTACCATGAGGTACTGCCTTTATGTGGAAGAGGAAGAAACCCTTTTAATGTAAATGCTACTAAGCGCGTTTTAAGTCTGCTCTGGTATTGTTTTCCAAGGAAGGAAAGAAAATAAGCCAATAAAACAAAAAATCACCTCATTCTAATTCATTCACACACTGCCTGCTGTTTTTCACTAAAAAGTTAGAATCATGGCAGTCTTCCACTTCCTAAATCACCTGGTGATGTATTTTCTAGCAGATGTCTTCTTGTGACCTATTTTCTAGCTACTAGCTAGAGGTTCAACACTGATTTGACATACCTACTGCATCTACCAATGAGAGTATTAAGACCCTGTCAGTTCTAGAAAGAGAAATCTTTGAAATGTAAAAGGAAGAGTCTGAAAAACGAGTCTGAGTTTCAAGTTGTGGCTGTTTTCAGGCTGATGTAGGCATACTTAGGAATATTGAGTTCATGGAACTCCCATACTAAGTGAGAGATTTAGGGTGTTCTTTGACAGGAAGGAAGTGCAGCATCATTCCTATATAATGTTACTAATTGGAATCATTCCCATTCCATTTCAGGGCACTCATGGGGCAGACAATACAACAGAGAGATTAAGAGTGTGCAGAGGTGCTGTTTGAATCACATGAGTCTGAAGTCTTGTTTTTTATGTCGAAGCGTTACTCTTTGACAGTTGAGAGAAAAACAATCCCTCTGGGAGGAAGAAAGAGCCAAGAGAAAATGAACAGTCTGAGAAAGAATGGAAATGATTCTGTTGCTCCATGAGATAGAGCCAAGTGGGAGGGAAGCCAGGGTAAATGATCAGAGGCTGTCTACAGAAACGCGGGCTCAGCTTGAGCACTGGGTGCCTACTTGGTGAAGCAACAACTCTGCCCTGGCTGGCACAGCTGGAGCCCCAAGTTAGTCATCTGCAGGAAACTAGCCTTGATCTCCATTTTGTAGGAAGCATCTGAATTCTGAATGAGCAAGAAACATAAGCACAGAAGATTGCATCTGTACACCAGTTCTCCTTGGTTGTCATGGGAAGCAAATGTCACAAATAATATAAACAGATTTAGAGGAACTACACAGTAAAGCTCCAGAGGTGGGTAGGGCTTCCCATGTCTGGCCATTAAAAACAAAATATGCCACATTTTCACTCTGTCTCAGTAAGAAGAAGATGCTGTTTTTTTTTTTTTTTTTTTGTTAAATGTACACAAGAACTGGGGTACAGGCCAGAGGTGCGGGGGTGATGAGAGAATTCCTCAGAGATAATGTGGAGCAGAACAGGCAGACAGATGAAGTACACTGCTGAGGGGAGCAGCAGGTGGGTCAGGAGAGGTCTGCTGTGCTATGTGGGTCACCTGGGCTGGGAATCGAACTTGCCTAGCAGTGGGTGTGGACAGCTTCATAGCATTGTGCTTTAATCCGCTGAGCCACCAGGGAGGGTCCAGATGCTACTCTTAAAGAGGGAATATGATTAGCTTTTCAAAGTATTCATAGAACTTTGAATCTTCTATCACATAGAAGTCAAAATCTCATTTGGGTGTCATGAATGCAAAAGCTGAACAAAGTACCCAGTACAGGCTTGCTTAATTATCTTCCAGTTGATCCAAACAACTTTGTTTATTCTGTGGAAGTGAGGGGGCTGTCCTGACACTTTGCTATTAATTTCTTCTCTTTATATGGCCCTAAGGGCCCACTAAATTCTTTGTGCTGCCACAGCCATAGGGAACCAATTTCAGATTCAAGTGAAGTCTTCACCTAAGCTTAATGGATTGAGAAACAAATTGAAAGTCCAATCAACATGATGGCATAACTTTCTTAAAGCAAAATTCACTGGGTAGCAGTTGATTAGGCCAGCAGTGGTCCTGTGTTAGGGTGGCAGGATATGGAGTAAATTAATACCAGAACCTAGCAAGAGTCCGTGGCTGTGTATGTACAGAACAGCTTTTGGTCCAAGATTGTAGCCTCTTTCTGCTTTTTTTTTTAATGGAGTATAGTTAAGTTTGGGACAGAAAAAAATCTAGTATCATGCCTTCATTTTATAGATAAGAAAGTGACAACTTGAAGAGATTAACTATGGAAACATCAGGTTACTTAGTAAATTCCACTGTGTGAAACTCCTACCCAGAGACCTTGGAATGTTCTTAGGTATATACCATAATCAAGTTTTATTTATTTATTTTTACGCATACAGAACTGGGGTACAGGCCAGAGTTGCAGGAAGCAGGGACAGTGAAAGGATTCACCACACACACAGTGGGGAGCAGAACAGGCAGATGGACTAAGTACACTGCTGAGGGGAGCAGTGGGTGGGTAAGGAGAGGTCTGCTGTGCCATGTGGATCACCTCCTGGGTGGGCATCGAACTCATGCAGAAGTGGCTGAAGCTTCTTAGTGCAGTGCTTTAACCTGCTGTGCCACCAGGGAGGGCCCCATAATCAAGTTTTATGCAACAAAATTATTGAAGTCTAGGGGTAGATGTAACAATATAAGTTATTAACATTTAAAAACTGAATCTTTGCTTTTCAGAGGCCCAAAAGCCTAGAAAGAAGATAGAGAATTGTTGCTTTTTCAGATACCTATTCAAGTTACTAGAATAATGACAGTATCTGATTTTAGATTTTGCATTTCTCCATAAATGCCAAGTTTACCTATTTTTCTTTCTCTTAAGATTGAGGTCTAAGCTCCAAAGTAGGGTCCCTTGCTCTCTACAGGAGAAATATAGTAGTTGCTTTAACTTGTAAAATTGATGGTCCATTCTCTCTAAAAATCAGAAAACTAGCATTCTACCTCTAGTTTTCTTAACTTGGGAAGTTACTGCCTACTTCTATCTAGAAGATGGGCTTGGAAGAGTTGAGGTGTACTTTTTTCTTGTCACAGTGCCTGATGCCGCAAGTTGTAGTCACTGGCAATCCTGGTTGGGGGAAATCCTGCCATCTGCTGTTCTAGTAAATTACACTGGGAATGAGGGTGCCTGACCTAAAGAACTACCTCCCCCAAATGCCGACATTAATCACTTGGAAACACAGTGAAAGCGAGAGCTACGTTTTTGTTACTTGCCCCTTAAATATTAACCTCCTAAGAGGCCTTGGGAGGGGGCCTGGGGACACATATTGATAGAAAACAGGGGTCTATCAAGCACTTTGCTAAACACTCATCTACAGGAAGCTCATGGGTTTTATAGCGTTTCAGGCAGGTTTCCCCTAACAGCATTTGGCACTTGTATGTAACTACAGTGTGTCCCACCCACCCCAGGATGAACAAGGTTAAAGACCGCTGATTGATTTGTTATACACCCGTATAAGGCAAATTGTCTTCCAGCCTTTGTTCTCCCTTTAATAAAATTTTTGACGTGGTTCCCATTTCCCTCTACGTCCCCCAGCTTCCTTGTGTGGGCCGGTCTGCAACTGCTGGCCAGCAGTGGGTGTAAAATGATGTGTGTTAACAGTCAGCCTCTCCTCCCTCCTAACCAGGGAAGCTGCGCCCTGCTCTGCTCTTCCTGCTTGCTAGGAAAGGATGCCAACTTGAACCATAACCCCAGAGCTGGAGAAGTACCGATGCAGACTTGTACCAGTTAGATCCTTGGATAACTACACAAAGCAGAGCCAGCTACTCACTCCCAACTTATTTAAGACAATATATTTGGAGAAATTGATTTTTGGCCTTTTTTTTTTTTTTTTTAACATGCAACTGTAAGTTGCCCTCTCAATTAGGCTCCAAATAAATGCTGTCTGGTCTCAAGTAAAAATGTAGTGGGAGAAACCTGAATGCAGCACAACTCCTGTCTAGGTATATTTGCATCCCCAATACACATTCACATCAAACAAAGAAATAAGTTGTACTTAACAAGTGCGAGACATTACAAATAGAGTTCTGAAGAGTATAAAGAGGCAAAGCTTTATTGTAGCTTTATCTAATACAATTCAATGTACATGTCATGTTCAATGTAGTTAGTGTTCGACACGAACAAGGTTGGCTTCATTAATTTCTCTATTTTTTCTTTGTCTGCAGATTGTACAAAAGGGAAGGAGGTTTCTTGGTTTTATAGGCCACACTTCCCTTGATGCGCTTTCCTCTGATGTTGACAATATGTGGTAAGAGAGGGGGCCGAACCGTCAACACCGTTCCTTGAGGCGTATAGCCTCGGAGATGCAGTCTGTCCTTTAGCTGAGGTGTCACTGCAACCCAACCTGTGCAGGGCAGGTGACATCACACAAAATCGTTTTAGCAAGAACACCACTGAAGCTCAAAATGATGTAACAAAGTATTTTTTTTTTTTAAAGAAAGATTTACTTATTTCTATATACCAGAGCTGGGGTACAGGTCAGAGGTGTGGGGGATGAGAGCATTCACCAGAGGCAGTGGGGAACACAACAGGTAGACTGACTGAAATACACTGCTAAGGAGAGCAGTGGTCCCTTCAGGACTGCTGAGGGGCCAAGGGAGGTCTGCCACACCATGTGGGTCAGCTCCCTGGCCCAGGATCAAACTCATGCTGCAGCAGCTTTGGATAGGTTCATAGTGCTGTGACTTAACCCCTCCTGGGGTTAAGCAGCAGGGAGGCACCTCCTCACCATTTTTTAACAAAGCATAAAATACACTTGTGAAAAGGTATACATTTAAGGCTGTATTTTATGAATAAATTAGTATGTACTTAAAATACGTACTTGTATTAATTAAAGGTACACTGTAAATCAGTAAGGCTCCAGATAAATGATATCCAGTCTCAATAAAACAAATAGTGGGAGAAACCTGCATGCTCATACACCTTTAAAAAAGTGACTGGTGTAGAATTACCTGCAGAGGAGAACTTGATGTCTGCCACAGCTTCAGAATCCCCAAGTCCTCCTTCTAATAGAATGTCTTCAGCAACAAGAGGGGGAAATCCTGCCATCCGCTCTTTTCCACCCATTGGAACCTTCCATTGAGATAAAAGATGTTTGGAAATTCAAACTAAATTCCTTGTAAATATTAAAAGAGTATGAGAATCACTGATAAGATAGTTCTGTGTGGGATCAAAAATAAAACACTTTTAAACATTCAACTGTTGGAAAAAATCCCAAATCACTTCTAAGTCAAACAAAAGGCATAGGGAGCTCTGTGCTGAGACCAGCGACACATGTAGGGTGTGCACCTGGAGTGACAACCTGATAGCAGAATCTTGCTTTATTAGTTGACACTGCTTTATAGCCTTCCAGAAAGCTTTATACAGAGTAACAGTGGGCAATTAAGGCAACCTCCTTCCAAACATCTTAGTTCTTACAGCCCTGGCTGGCCATGAAGCTTAATCCCTGCCTCACTACAAGTCCAGGGGACATTTATAATGGGTAAGATTCTGTTTCTATGTTTATAGATGCTGCCACAAGTTAAATGTAACTGAGTGATAACTTCTAACAGGACAACAGGAGGTGGAAAATAACTTGCATACAAATTTCAAGGTAAGAAATATGGTGAGAAGCATCTACAAAGTACTATGGCTGTGAAGAAGTGATGAGTATGTATTGATCCAGGAAAACATTAATGATAAAGGAATGTCTGACCAGCATTTTGAGAAATAGGTCAAAGTTACTATGTAGAAAGATTCTGGGGTAGCATGTATAGACACACAAATTGGAATAAGGATGGTTCAGAGAACCATACCTTAACTGTCCAGAGTATGTCTTGTGGGTGTGTTCTGTTTTAGTGATGAAGCTATCTGTTTAGACTTACTTCTCAGAAGTTACCAAGGAATTATAAGCAGGAGAGAGAACAGAAGTAAGAACTAAAAATACTGTGGCCTCTATATATTTTTGGACTACCTGCTTCACTCTTAGTAATAGTGATGTTTTGGGCTTAATGATTCTTTGGGGGGAGGGAGGCGGCTGTTCTGCACACTGTGGGATTTTTAGCAGCATCCCTGCCCTCTCCTCAGCATCCATCAAATTGTGAAAATGTAAAAGGTCTATAGGCACTGCCAAATATTTTTGGAGCAGAGTTTCTTTGTTACCGAGAATGTGAGGTGGGGTGGGAGGAGGGCCATAAAAACTGGAAGATGGGGTGGCCCTCCCTGGTGGTGCAGCGGGTTAAAAAGATTAAGCCACTTGCGCATGAGTTCGATTCCCGCCTACCCCGGAGGAGACCACATGGCCTGGCAGACCTCTCCTGACCCGCCCGCTGCTCCCCTCAGCAGTGTACTTTGTTGATCTGCCTGTTCTGCTCCCCACTCTGTCTCTGGTGAAGCCTCTCGCTGCCCCTGAGCCTCTGGCCTGTACCCCAGTTCTGTATGAACAAATAAATAAATCTTTAAAAAAAAAAAAATGGAAGATGGGGAAAAAATTTAAGGATCTTGAACACCTAATGAGAGCAGAGTACAGCCTGAATTGTAAGGCTGGGCTGAGATAATGGCTTCAGAGGTAAGAAAACTAGTATACAAGGAGTCCAAGAACAGCTTAAGAAGCCATTTGTGTCACCCAAGGAGAGGAAAGAGGGGTTGTTACTTTGAGAAGTATCAGTGATGTTCATTCTGAAAACTACACAGCTATATCGGGGTAGAGAGACAGAGTTCATTTTTATGAGTCCTGTTATATAAAGTTTTCATTCATGTGCTTCTTAAGCTGTATTTTAACTTATATATTAATGATTTACCTAAAAAGTGAACAAATGTAATAGAACTACCACCTTCTAGTGCAGAAAAATCAACAGATCTTATATTCTATATATTCTGCTTTTCTGCAGTCACCCAGCTTGGAAATCCTACAAGTGTTTGCAATATGAACTTGATAAAACAGTAATTAGCGGTCTCTCTTTCTCAGGAAAGCCAGAAAGAAGTATTCACATCTCAAGTCAAGTTTTCTTGTTTTGACCCTGAAGAAGGATTTTGTGTTTTATATTTTATTTTCAGCTGTACAAGCACCAATGAATAATTCCCCTCTGTAGTACACCTGGTATTTTTGCAATGGATGTATTTCATCACCACCACTACCATCAATAGTACCTAGGACAGTAACCTGCTACCCCACCCTCCCCATACCACAGAGATAAAGGAACCTGCTGCCTAAAGCCATTTAAGCCCAGGCAGTCTGGCTATGCCACCTAGATTAGCTCCCTAGCTGTGGATCGAACTCATGTCGCAGTGGCTGCAGATAGCTTGATAATGCCAGGATTTGAACCCCGCAACACCAGGGAGGCCCCCCATGAGCTTAACTATTACCATACCATGTGTCTTAAGGTAGAGAGCCACTCTCTACCTTAGAACAATGTCAGTGGCACAGTAAGAGGCAACAGGAACTATAAAGCATAGGACGTAAGAACAAAAGTAAGCTTGATGAAAGGAACGGGCAGGATACTTTTTTTGTTTAGTTTTTTAAATATGTGAGAAATTTTAAAGATATTTACAGGTCGATGGAAAGAGCTAGAAGGTCAGGAGAGAAGAGGTGATTTATAGACATCTGGGATTAAGAATCTGAGAGATTCTACCTAAACCAGGGCTTCTCAACTGAGTTTCACTGACATTTTTGAGCAAGTTTTGGACCAGTCTTTGTAGAGGGGGCTGTTTTGGACACCGCAGACATTAGCTTGATCCTTGGTTTCCATTCCTAGGTACGAGTATGACCTCAGTTGTGAGGAAATCTGTACCTTCTCTTCATCTTTGTCTAAATCAACTTTCTGCAATGATGTAGCTAACTAGACATTCGAATGTGGTTAGCACAACTAAAGAATTTTAAGTTTTCTTTATGACTTTATTTAGATTTAACAAGCTCCATGTGGCTATACTACTAGGTAATGTACTAGAGAGCAGTCCCAAAGCTACCCTAGTGTTAGTCCAAGCCAGTTTCTCTTTTCTTACCAAGCCTACTTGGCAAGAACCAAAGGAATCCCAAGGGAGAACAGGGTGAGGGGACTGCTAGCTGAAGGTCCAGCAAAGACACTTGTGTCCAACAAAGGCTTTCTGGGTAGGGCTGTGGGAGCAGCATGGTTTATGTCGGCCTAATCATACAGTCATTACTCAGGTGTCTGCTCACCTTAAGCAGTGTGTGACCCGCATGCTTCTGATACACAGTGTCTGCCTTGTCCAAGGAAGTAATGTGCACGGGAAGGAAATTAGAAGCCACAACTGTGAACCAAGCTGACTGATTGCCCTAAAGAAAGGAAGACGTTATTTTACACAATTAAAAACTTACACAAATAGCTACAAGATAGAATACCTCCACCCCTAAATTATGTTCCCCTGATAAAAGCTTTGGGGTGGCAGCTATAATTCAAGTATATTAATGACAAAAGAGGGGCATACAGTATTACAGGAATAGCATATTTCAATAATTTATAAAAAACTATTTCCTTCTATAGGTTTGTTGATACTATTTAAAAAAAAAGCTTCATTATCAAAACCCAAAACAATATACTATCTGCTTTAACTATTCTGTATAAAACTGGGCTAAAAACATCAATATTCTGTGGGCTTTAATAAAATATGCATGGGTTTTAGGTGCATAAGACCCAATTTCCAACAAATTAGACACAAAATCCAAGAAATGTGCTAATAACAGTGACCTGTCAGTTACATTGAGTTTTACTGGGCATATGTTTTTCCTTTTTCTATTCACTTTGGTAAATGAGAAACAGTTCTGCAGATACTCTGCATAGAGAATTAGTCTCTTAAATGAGTATCACTCAAAAGAGTAGATATAGAAAAGTGTATTATGGGATATAAGAAAGTGTGGAGTTAATACACATTAACTTTGTTTCTAAAGATCTAGCTTATGATTTGCACAAAACCACAAGATAGAATCTTTTCTAAATGTCAAGCTCTATGGGGTATTTAACATTTTATTGAAGATATATTCTAAAAGCTACTATCTTTCAGGGCTCATTTCTTTTCTTCCTTAAAGTAAATTCCAGTACTAAGGTTTTTTTTTTTTTTTTTTTTTTTAAATAGTACAGACTTTCCTTACCTGCAGAAAATCTATGCGGCCGATAGCACCCAAAAATAGAACCATTCCTGGTTTAAGCTTAAAAGTTCTTGGAATAATGGAATTTGTTGGTAAAACAATATCTACTTCTTTTTCTGTTAGAAAATTTAAAATCTGTGGAGCAAAAAAAAATTTCAGAATTTTTCATCAATTTTTATTGAAAATGATGTATTATAATTTAGCTGAAAAATAGGTGGTGAAAAAGTAGATTTCACAATGCAGTAAAGATTCTCAGAATTTGCTGCACATGAATTTTCACATTCTTTATACCTAAATGAATGAATTTACAAGTGTTTTTACTCATTTCATAACTTACTCTCCAGCAATAGAAAGAAAGCTTTATAGGAGTATGATACTTTATTCATAATGTCAGCATCTTCCTCCACATGTCAAAATTGGTGTGGAGTATAACACTGATGAATCAATTCTAAGATACAAGACATATTGCTTTTATTAAGACTTTTAGGGAGGAATTTTCAGCTAAAGGTAAAGCAGTCAGGTACCTCATGGTGAGTACATGTACAATCTTGAAACAAGTAAAGAACTTGAAGAACCTCTTTCTACACTTTGGCCCTCAATTTCCTTGAGTATTTAGCACAATTATATTAAGAATCCTGACTTCAAAGGATGAATTCCTAACCAGACTAGAGAAAACAGAAGTACACGATCCTGATAAATTTTGTTTTAACAAATTGAAACCTGACTTTAAAAAACGAGAAGGTAAAACAAAAAACTTACGTGAACTTGGTTTTTAAGAAACACAAAATGGGAATAAAGGGTCTCCCTGGTGGCACAAGGGGTTAAGTCTCAGCACTATAAAGCTATCTGCAGCCACTGCAGTACAGGTTTGATTCCCTGGCCAGGGAGCTGACACACAGGGCGCAGCAGACCTCTTCTGTTTTGCCCACTGCTTCCGCTCAGCAGTGTATTTCAGTCCATCTGCCTGTTCTGCTTCCTGCTCTGTCTCTGGTGAGTCCTCTCATCCCTTGCACCTTTGACTTGTACCCCAGTTCTTGTATACATAAATAAATCTTTTTAAAAAAAAAAAAAAGGAATAAAAGTACACATGGTTCAACCTCAGCCTATATTTGAAAGGCACAGATTTATTTTTGCAGAAGGCAGGCAAGAGAGGTCTGTTGCGCCATTTGGGTAGTTCCCTGAGTGGGGGATTAAACTCTTGCGGCAGTGGCTGTGGGATAGCTTCATAGGGCTGTGACTTAACCCCTTGTACCACCAGGGAAGCCTGAGAAAAGGCGCATTTTAAAAAAGCCACTTACAATAAAGAAATACTTTAAACTCTTGTTAGCAGAAATCCTAATGCTTCCTTTTCAAAACAGATTTCCTTGGTGTGGGAAACACTAGGTGAAGGCATTAAATAAATACATCAGTAAACTGACAGGAAACAAGTGATCTGGGAGACCTATTATATGTAAAAACTCGATGGCATTCTGCTACCTAGAATATTTAACAGCTATTTGCCTTTCTGACTGACAAGAAGATTTGTCAAGAGTAACTTTTTCCTGACCTCAGTCTAAATGGAAGATTTAATTGAGATAAAAGCAATACATTTACTGTGAAGTTAATGAATTACTGAGAAAGACTGGAAACAATTATTCTAGAACAAAAATAAGTTAAGAATATGTGATCCTATGACACCAAATGGAATATATTCTGAAAATGAAACTAAGTTATCCTGATGAGGCAAAGGAAGGAAAAGTACCTAACATACCAATGTTGCTTCACAGGGAGAAACATAATTTGGTAAAACTGGAATTAAGCAGATTCAGAGGACTTTGTTTTAGGCTGTCATCTGGACACACCGCTAAGCCAATCAATGATTTGGGTGACGACCACAGTGTAACAGTAAAGAAAGTTGTGACTATATGGGATGCAGGTTGAATTTAACTAGATAAGTACAAAATTTCCAAGGCTATCCTGCAACTGGATTAAAAAAATGTGTAAAGGGAAGACAGGTAGAAGTCAACCCTATTCTAAATTTGGCTTATCAGAGGGCACTTATAGAAGAAATTCATTTCCTAGTGCCTTACGTTAAGAACAAAAACAAACAAAATGTGAAGAGAGGCTGGGTTGATGACTAGCCTGTCTCTCAGGAATGAGTTGTAGAAAACAAAGATCATCTGAAGTACATCAGCACAGTAGGGTTCAGTGTTTGTTGGATGAGCTAATGGAAAAGAAGGGTAAGGATGTTATACTTTCAAGTATTTCAAGGTCTGGCAAGGGATAAAAGATTTAAACTTGTTTCATACTGCTTTGAGGAACAATGGATACAAGTTACAGGGAGTCTATTCAGCTCAATACAAAGAGGTCAAAGACCAAAAAGGTCACCTTGGGAGGTAAAGCGATACTGCTTCAGCTGATGGCCACTCCTTCCTCCAGTTCAAACTGGGCACTCTTTTATGGATATGTTTGAGGGAATTCAAGCATGGAACAGGTGAATTACTGCTTGAGACTTAGGATTTTTTTCCATCCTCAATATCTAGGACACTGTAAATGTCTTAGTAACCACGGTGAAAGCCACAATAAACAAGTAGGTTGTGAGTGATGCAGTCTACCAACTGGAATATAGAACTTGGTAGTACTTAAGTTCATGTCTTGAATTGCTTTATGAATGAATCAGACCTGAGTCTAAAATTAAAATATACCTCCTTTCCTGTCTTCTCCCAATTAAGACAGTACTTGTGCAAATTAAAGTCAATGTTTGTAAAAGAAATCAAATACATACACATTTTTCTTTTGTAATTCCAGGGGTGTCATAAAACCAATGGGCATCTTTCACATCCTCTAGGGTCAATTCTACTTGTTTGGTGAGTTTATCTGCAACCACAGCAGGTTCATTTCCCATGTCAAAGGCAAGTGAATCAGCATCAAACTCAAATGTTGCTTCATTCTTCTGTCCTTTTGAATGCAAAAATGTCCTCCCAACTCTTCCTAAAACAAGTCATAGTGACACTATTAGGCACTGCTTTTTTTGGGGAAAAAAAAAGTATTTGTTTATATGTATATATTTTACATCACTGTTCATTTTTTGCACAATATTTGATTTCTGCCTCAGGTGTAGTGCCGTGACCAACTCACCTGTGCACCATCACCACGGCCCCTTGTGCTCCTCCATCCCCTCTCCTGAAGCTTGTCTCTGATGGATAGCTGCCTGCTGATTTTGTTTATTTATTATTTTTTCTTGATCCCTTGTTCCCCCTATACTCCTCCTATAAGTGAAATCATGCAATATTTTTCTTTTTCCTTCTGGCTTATTTCACTGAGCATGATCCTTTCCAGCTTATCAATCATGGAGTGCTTTAAAGCTTTGATTAAAAAAGAAAAAGAAGGCCCTCCCTGGCGGCCCAGCGGGTTAAAGCCCAGCATTGAGAAGCTAAAGCCGCTTCCGATTCCCACCTGCCCCGGAGGAGACCACATGGCCTGGCAGACCTCTCCTGACCTGCCCGCTGCTCCCCTCAGCAGTGTACGCCCGCTGCTCCCCTCAGCAGTGTACTTCGTCGATCTGCCTGTTCTGCTCCCCACTCTGTCTCTGGTGAAGCCTCTCACCGCCCCTGGGCCTCTGGCCTGTACCCCAGTTCTGTATGCACAAATAAATAAATCTTTAAAAAAAAAGAAAAAGAAAATGAGGGTAACACTTGCTCTTAAGATGTGTTTATAAATTCACCATCATGCTTGCGTAGCGAGACCTCCAGCTGCTTGTGTTGTAAGGAAGGACATGCTGGCCGTGGCCCACTCCCCACTTCTACTCTGTGACTCTAGATAAATACCTCTGCACTTTGCCAAAAAGCAGAATGGTAGTCCCTCAGACGCTACTCTGCTGCCTTCCGCAATTTGCTGACAAATGAAACTACTTTATGAAAGTAAGACAGCAGCAGTACCTTTGCTCCCCACCACCAGCAACAGAAGTCAGCTATATATGCTGGGTAGTGGGAAGTGTGGGCTAGGGGGCACAGGAAGAAGGGTTGGAATCCTGTTTAGTAAAGGTTGAAAAGAGATACGAGGAAAGGGGGACAATTTAATCTAAAGCTGTTGCATGGGGTCAACCACCTGTGCTGCTCTGCAGAGACTGTACGTTAGTGGAAACGCTTGCTGCTGATGGCTTGGGGGTGGGGAATGATTGCATGTATTTTCCTAAGCTTTTATGGTCTATTTTCTTAGCATACTGAAATCTAGGTTTCTAACAGCTGCCTCACCTCTAAAGTACCTCTGTGTTTTGTAGGCAATTTCCCCCTACAAAAACTGGCTAGCTCCGGACAGCTGTGTTTCTTGTTGCTCAACAAAGGAATTTAGCATATACTCATTTTCCTAAAATGCTTACCTACTACATAACCATGCTTTTTCAAGCGACTGAGTTGATTTTGTTCTTGCTGACTAAGATCTTCTTCAGTTTTAGTTGCATCTTTTTGAAGCCTTTTTTGCCTCTGAAACATTCGGTAAGGAGTTGGGTTGCAAATAGGAAACTTCAGAAGGTTTAATGTAGTACCTGAAATACCAAAATTAAAATGTTTAAAAAAACAAAATATTTTTAATAAACAGTAGAAGCAAGGGAATAAGAAGAAAAAGAACATTTTGAGGAGCAATACTGCTGGGTACTGATTTATTTTACTTAACATTCATGCCCTCTATAAAACCATTCTTACTTTACAAAAGCGGAAATAGGCTCAGAGATTGGCTCTGGGGCTCAATCAGGATTTGAACCCCAAATCTGCAGGCCTGACTTCTTTCCATTTATATCATACTAGCATCCTGTATAAAAGCACCTTTGTGAATGAGTCAACCCAAATCCAAAAGAGATGAACAATATCAAAGTTAAAAAACTGGTTTCAAAGGAGAAAAAAAGTGATACCTTTAACAAAAGTGATACCTTTAAATTATAAACAGGTTAGGAAGGACCCCTTAGTTTATTAAAATTACGAAGTTGACTTCTCAACGAAGTTACACATATTGCATTAGTGAGTTACTCAAGTGTTAAATGTGAATATGATGCACTGATCACATGAATAAACCCAAGATAAACAGACTAAAATTCAGGGGTGGATAGAGGCTCGGAAAGTAAAAGGAAGTTCATAGAAATACAAAAATAAGTAAGCTCCAAAGGACACCCCCAGGAGAGCAGCCACTTTGCTTTGTTTCCCAGTTTTTCTTCCAGTGCTAGAAAAGTGACAGGCTCCTAGAAGTGCTGCATGAATATTTCTATTAGAAAATTATTAACAGATAACATGATGGTTAAGCATCAAGCTGATGCAGAAGAAAGATGTCACCAAAGTAGAAAACTGTTAAAAGAGAAGGCTCTAGACAGTCCCTGGAGAACATTAAAGGGAGACCTATGAGGTGCCTTGGTCAAGGGCAGAGGTCCAGTTTCTCAGAACACTTAAGAGTATGAGTCTCCCAGGGCTCACCTGGCCAAGGGGAGATGGTGGCTCGGTCGATAGCCTCAGCGCCCTTGGCGATGCAGTAATCGGACGCCAACAGTGTGTTGAAAAGAGTGGACTTGCCAGCGTTGGTGGCGCCCACCAGGTAGACATCGCCGCGGTAGCGCCAGGAGCGCTGAAGGGCGGAGATCAACTCTTCCACTCCATAGCCGGTCTTGGCGCTGATCAGCCGAACGTCCCTGAGCACCGTGCTGGACCTGCCCGACGAGTCGAAATTCTTCTCCCCTTCCCCTGGGTCCTTCTCGCCGAGGTGAGGTGACCGTCTTGGGCCAGGTGGCGGCAGGAGCCCGGCGCGGGCACAGTCGTCCCACAACCTATCCCTGAGCCGCTGCCGGTAGCCAGGGGTGTCCTGGGGCAGCAGGTCTACCTTGTTGCCCAGCACGATCAACTGCTTGGGGCCCAGCAGGGCGGGCAGATCGGGCAGCAGGGCGTCGGGCAGGTCCAGTAGGTCCACCATGTACAGCACCAAGGAGGGCCCTGGGCGCCGGAGCGCGACGCTCACGAGCTCCCGGTAGCTCTCGCGGCTCACCTGCAGGCGCAGGGCACGCCGGTGGTGCACCAGGAGCCAGCAGCGCTGACAAACGGTCCGCGACAGCCCGCCGTCCGCTTGTGCCGCCGCACGGAGGAACTTGTCGCTGGGTAAGAAGCCGGGCACGCCGGGGTCCTGGCAGTGCAGCTCCGCTCCGCAGCCAGAACAGCTCAGGCCGCTCGGCGAAATCTCCGGGTCCAGGAGCACCCCCGCTGGCTGCTCCTTGTGTTTGACCCGTAGCTTCTGCTGCCACCGCTCCTCCCGTCGCTGCTGCTTTTGTCGCTTTTCCTCCTCCTGCAGCTGCTGCAGCTCTCGAAACTTCTCCTGGAGGTTCGTCTCGGGTTCCGTTTCTGGGATGTACTCGGGGAAGAGAAAACGCTCCTCCGTGTCAGGCCTTCCTTCCGAATCCCTAGTCGCCGTCGGGCCGAGAGGAAGCCCGTATCCCAGGCCCGATGGGAGCTGGGAGGCGGCGGCCGCGCACCTCCTCTGGGGGAGCGGATCTCCGAAACCTTGGCGCGCAACCGTAGGAGCGCATCCTGGCAGCAGGCGGCCCAGCAGCCTACAGCTTAGGCGTGCAGGCAGCATGTGGATCGCGGCCCTCGGGGGAGGGGCGGGGCTATCGTACGCATGCGCATTCAGGTACCAGGCACGCGTTAAACCCCAGACGAAAGCCCAGCTCTTCCTCCCGCATCCAGTCCCGTGAGTTCTCGCGAGGGAAGCGCCGAGGCGCGGTTTTCCCATAAAGCTGTGCCACAAGTACCGGGCACCGAGAACAAGTTACACGCTTGAAGAGGCAGCGGGCTTGTTTGCTTTTAAAGTGTCGCCGCGGCTGGCTCGTTCTTGATAAATGAATGTCTTTTGGTCTCGAGATGTGCAAAAGAATAGCATGGGGTGCCGGAGACTTACGCCCCCCAAGTTGAAACCTTTTATTAATTTTTTTTTTTTTACTTTGAGAAACAAAAATCTTACTTTGACTGAACCTGACAAGAGCCTGGCTCCCATGAGCCGGGGGAGGCGTGAACCCACAGTTAATTTGCGCGTGCGCAATTGTGCCTCTCAGCTAATGTTCGCCTACTAATTTTTTTGCGCAGGCGCAGAGTCTAGGTTGTCTTCGTGGGCGGCCTTTGCAGTGAGACGCAGAGTATTCTGGGAAAGTCGGAGACGGAAATTACTACGATTCTCGCTCCCGGTGCAGTGGCTGCTGCGCGCCTCCTGATTTCAAGTTAGGAGCCCCGAAACCGTTTGCCAATATGTATGACGCGGACGAGGGTAGGTGATTGCTCGGAGCACTCCGAGGCCACCCACTGGAGGGGGAGCACGTGGGAAGCTGGAGGATTGAAGATTTGGGGCCTCTCTCACGGCCCGCCACACAAGTGCCGGTGGAGTTGTACCCCATAACCCCCAGGGCGGGGACGAAGTCGGGGATACGAGAAGTGGGGGGGGGTGCAGGCAGTCTAGCATTAGCGTTCGGGGTCTGGGTGACTCTTGTGCTGTTGTCTGTTCCCGGGAAAATCTGAGGCTGCCTTCTCCATTTTGAAATAGCATCACAATCATAATACAAATTCTGTTGTTTTGCCTTTGAAGCAAAAGTCTCCCTTTTAGATTTCCCTTCAGGTCAGAATTATTTGTTGAATAGGTGAGCAGTTTGGGGCGTCAGCATTGTGCCAGGCTTAGAAATGATTGGGTACAAAGAATTGGGGGGGGTACCCATCTAGTTTCACATTATTTCATGCTGTTGTCTGAGTAAACTTCTTAAAAGATGACATAGTTCTCAGATGTATTCTTCTGAACTAGTGCTAAACATCTTTGCACTTGTAGACTTCTAACTCGTGTCTAGTGTCTTTTCAAAACACCCTCTCCGATTTCAAACTGGAGTTTCTTCTAAGTCTGTGACTATCCCTTACACTTTCTCCTATGCCCTCAGCTTCTATGGGGAAAATAGAAGCAAAAGTTAATTCTTGATGTTTTAACTTTTTTTAAAATTTCCTATCTTGATTCTAGAAGTTCATTTGCATCAAACATTATTCCCTTTTCTTAATACCTACCGCCATGGAAGAAAAATTCAAAAAAAGATGTTTTAGCTTAGTGTTAATATAATTTTAGGGCTCACGGCCAGAAAAATATTAAAACACCAGTCTCCTGCCTCTGCTTGGCCATCGTATATAATTACATGTTACACTCTCACCCTTGTCCACCTCAGTAGTGTCACCGTCTCCATAATCTGTGTCGACAGCTCTTAGATTCTTCTCTTCCCAGAGTGCATGTTTAAGCAGAAAGATATAAATGGGGTTCTAATTTCTCCCTTATTTACACACATTTAGGAAATTTTCATGCCAATTCTTAACATCTTTTTCAGTGGGGAAGGCGAGCTATTTACTTTGTATGACTGTGTCATAACTTAAGTAGTGTCTTATTGAAAGATGCTTGGGTTATTTTTGGCCTCTTTCTGGGACAGTGTTACAATGACTAATCTTGTACAAAATACTTTGTCTGATACAAATGTATCTGAGATAAATTCATAGATACAGAATTGTCTGGTCAAGTGATAGGCAAGTTTAACATTTTTCTGGTGGTACTAAATGACCACCATAGTATAGTGATCTTACTAATTTACATTCATATTCACAATGTGTAATACCTATGGGAATAAAATTGAAAATTAACTTTTTTTTTTAAGATTTATTTACTTATGCATACAGAAATGGGGTACAGGCCAGAGGTTCAGGAGCTGTGAGAGAATTCACCAGAGACAGTGGGGAACAGAACAGGCAAACTGAGGTACACTGCTGAGGGGAGCTGTGGGCGGGTTAGAGGTCTGCTGCTCCATGTGGGTCACCTCCGGGGCAGGGATTGAACTTATGCTAAAGTGGTTTTAGCTTTTTAGTGTTGTGCTTTAACCAGGGAGGGCCTGAAAGTTAACTCTTTTTATCAGGTCTACTCTGGCACTAAGTTCACATTTCATTCCTGTTTGTATCCTTTGATGTCTTATTTGATATAACCTCATATGCTTTCTGACTTTCTTTCCCTATTGAGTTTTTTAATATATGAAATATTATTAGATCTCGTCCACAGAGATCTCTTTTTCCTTTTTTCCTCCAATATTTTTCTTTTCTCCTTTCATCACAGCCAAACTTCCAAAATGAATAGGTTAGGGGCAGCCCTGGTGACCAAGGAAGGGGTTAAGTCTCAGCACTATCACTGCAGTGGTCTTATGTTCAATACCCACATATTTTGCTGCAGAGCTCTCATCCCTTGTCCACTGCTCCCTTTAGCAGTGTACTTCAGTAAACCTACCTGTTCTGTCTCTGTCTCTGGTGAACCCCCAGTGGATCTCTAGTCTTTATCCCAGTTCTTCTATGCAAAAATAAAAAAATAAAACATGAATACTCATTATCTCTGTGAATGAGCAAACAAAAAAATTAAAAAGGTTGTCCTTATTTTCATTTACTGTCATGCAAGTTCTAAACTCTTTTGTCTGGATCTGTTCATGCCAATGCACTAAAATGGCTCTTTTCTTTTTTTTAAGATTGATTTATGCATACAAGAACTAGGGTGCCAGCCAGAGGTGTGGCGGGGAGAGGATTCACCAGAGACAGAGTGGGGAGCACATAGGTGGAGTGACTGAGTTACACTGCTGAGGGGAGCAGCGGCTGGGACAGGAGAGACCTGCTGTGCCCTGTGGGTCACCTCCCTGGCCAGGGATTGAACTCATGCTTCAGTGGCCATGGGTAGCTTCATAGTGCTGTGCTTTAACCCCTTTCACCACCAGGGAGGCCCTACTAAAACAGCTTTTAATAAAAATATTGGTGGGCTCTCTAGGTTAGCCTAACTCTTTATTCCTTTTTTTCACCTTTATGTATGAGGGTTGTTTCCCAAGCATGTCAGTCACTTCCTGTTCTCTGCTGCAATTCTAGTACAGGTTACCCCCATCTCTTGACTAGATTACTAATCCTGATTCCTAATTTTTTTTGTGTTTCCAATTGTCTTGCAGCTTTAGTCTATTCTCTACAGTGTGGCCATAGTGGTTTTTCAGAAATGAAATTTTGATCTAGTCAAACCTCTGCCCGGAGGTTAAAATGGTTTCTCAAAGATCTTTGGTAAAGACCAAACTCACCCTTTGTATGATTGCTGACTGAAGTACCTACAAATGGCCTCTCCTGGCTTAGGCTGTACTGTGTAGCAGTAGTAGGACTCAGGGCAACTAAGATTTCTGGAAGCAAGTGTTTCAGCAAACATGGTGGTAGTTGCATTACCTTTTTGACTTAGCTTCTGAAGTTATGCATTTTTTTTTTAAAGATTTATTTATTTATTTATGCATGCAAGAGCTGGGGTGTAGGCCAGAGGTGCGGGGTGAGAATATTCACCAGAGACAGAGTGGGGAGCAGAACAAGCAGATTGACTGAAATACACTGCTGAGGGAGCAGCAGTTGAGGCAGGTGAGATCTGCTGTGCCATGTGGGTCAGCTCCCTGGCCGGGGATCAGACTCATGCTACAGTGGCTGCTGGTAGGGGCTGCAGATAGGTTCATCATGCTGAGACTTCTTGTACCGTCAGGGGGGCCCCTGAAGTCATGTAGTAGTATGTGGAACTTTTTTTCATCTCTGTCTTGATGGCAGAAGTAGCAAGGTTATATTACAAAAGAGTAGGTGAAATACATGTGATAGTCATCCATATGTGATGGTTGTGGCTGTTTTGGGAAAGTATAGCCTGTCATGTCTGTATGTGCATGAAATGTTGTAACAGAATATTCCACTTCAGGGTAGCCAGTTTTGGAACTCTTTCTAGCGCTATTCCCTTACTTTAATCTCTGACGAGTTGATTGGTCAGAGTTTACTGTTGATCTTGTTCCTAATTGTCATTATATTCTAATGAGAATTACATGGACTGTTTGGAGAAGATGGAAATCGTACGAATTTGTACAACATACCCTGAACCTTTATAATAATGCTTGTTTATCTACCTTTAGAAAATCTCTGTAACAGACCTAGCTCTAATAGACATATATGTGCGATGTCATTGATGTAGTTCATTGAAATTTTAGAAAGGTGGAGTGTATGGATCACTATTTATTCAGCAGATCTTAACTTCAAATCTGTTACTTCAATTCATAGGAGCAAGATGTTAATTGGTAACATGGAAAATAAGTGCAATATTTCTTTTTGCAGATATGCAATATGATGAAGATGATGATGAAATCACTCCAGATTTATGGCAAGAAGCATGCTGGATTGTAATCAGGTAACTTTTTAGACCAAACTAAGTAAGCCTTAAGAGGCATTATAACGTGATAAATGAGGAGTCTGTACTTGGAAATAAGGTGGGCCATATGAATATGTAGTTTATTGCTTTAATTCTGCAAGTTTTGGACTTACAGAAAGGTAAGTCTAGAAAAGGACTTGTACATACACTTCACCAAGATTTCTAATGTTGGCTCATATAACATTTTATGTTTTCTCTATATCCAGGCTTT